AATGAAAACAGGAAGATGAATACTGTAGTGTAGACAAGTGAAGTTGGAAGGAAAGAAGGGATGAATGAGACTGAAGATGTGGAAGGACAGAGTGAGACTGAGAGCTAAGAAAGAAAAATAGATTAAGAGGTGAGAAGGACATTGGTATGGAAGAATGTGTCAAGACCTGAATTGATGGAAGCGATGCACTGTATGTTAATGATACATTAGTTTTATCAGATCTGTCTTAATACAATAACTGACAACTTTAGCACATGAGAAATTGACCAGTCTATGATCATGGAATGCAGTACAGTAGACAATTTAGTTAAGTAACAAATTTGAGTTTTATTGTACATAATCATAATAGGCACTTAAGGGTTAATTTAGTATGTGTGCTTCATTATTAATCTCACATCTACACAGTGATTTGTATTTCATGTGTTGGACTGATTAGGGTTTCTTAGATGTGTACAATGAAATGGCCAAAGCATCTGTTTTATATCTGGAGATGATTTTATAAGTTTTATTTTGCTGCTAAGTTATATTAGTTATCAGGTATACTGTATATAAGAGATAGTGATACACCAGATCACTCTTCCCTTTCTTTTCCAGTCATGTTGTAACCTTGTGGATGACCATATTCATTTTGCTGGTGCTGTGGACTGTGTGGAACTTCTATATTGACCCTTATACTATCAAGTAAGTGTACAGGATCACAACAGTAGCTAAAGCTGGCCTTAAAGTACTTGCTCGCCTCCAATTTAGTGTTATGGTATAAGTACTGGTAGATATTTACTTTGCTTTTCTTGTATTCCTGTCACGTGTGTTCTTTGTTTGGCAGTAATCATATATTCATTGTTGAATTGATACCCTGGTAAGCAGCTTTTCCACAGGAGAAGAGAAGCAAAGGTTGTTCAGGGGTAAATAGGGCAAGCCTGTGATCTTTTATTGTAGTACAGTATTTCTTTTTGTTCACCATTTCTTTTTACTTTGCAGTGTTTTGTGCACTAGTGAATTTTTTAGAATAACTGGTGCTTTTGAGAAACAAAAGACCAGCTATTATTATTATTATTGTTATTGTTATTATTAATTTTATTATCATATATTCTTGGTGTGTGATCTTCAATTCTGTAACTTTTAAATTAGGTTTAATTGACAACTGACTACAGGTACTAGCTTTATTGACTGACGTTGTTCCCTAGTGTAAACTGTACTCTGGTTACAAGGCATAAAATATGTTTGTAGCTCTATACTGTACTACTGTACAGTATATCAAAAGTAATTCAAACTTCAAGAGCTTGTAGTTAGACCTTGAAAACCTAAGACTAGACTCTGATCTTGAGAATGGTCTTTGTTTGAAATGTAACAAAGTTCAATAGTTTACTCTGAGAGTGTAACACTTTGATGACACTAGATTTATATTTCATAGCCCATGAATCTCTCATCTAGATCTTGGACCTAAATTGGATTTTGTGGTTGTTAAGATAAACTGGGCAAAAAGAATTACAGTGGTTAGGGTTAAGAGTCAACTTACATGGTTTAACCCTGGCATTCTGTGTTGTGAGTTAATCACTCCATGACCCTAGATTGAATATTGTTTTTCCCATGAAATGATGCCAATGTATAGCAATATTAGGGATATTAGAATTTATATTGTTTTGGAGTACAGTATCATAGGCAAGTAGAACTAATTAAAATATTTTTCATGCTTGTTATTTAAATCTGATGGCATTATTATTAGTGGTATGCTTGAGCCCTCCAAATTGTATGTGGGGTTAGCCTTAAAAATCTTGATTAGTTATGTTAAACTGAAAGTCTAGATGTATGATACACAGGGTAGTGGTATGTCACTCAAATAGGTTGGGAACCACTTACACTCTCTAGAGGACCAGGTCACCTGATTGGCAATCTATTGTTTATTATCACACTACTGCTGCATTGATAGAACTCTTTGATTGAATAAACAAGCTCAAATTCTTCTTGTGTCACATCTCACTGTAGAGGAGCATGGTTCCAGCCAATACTCATCCATATACCACAGACTTAACATTTTTACAGACTTCTAAATCAAAATACATTGAGACACCCCATGCAAGCACACCTATGTGGTGGCACTGACATCAACTGTTAAACATTATAGGATCTTGGAAAAATGTTCTCTAGGCAAGTTTAGAGGCGTAAAAACATTATTAGATGCGTTTTCACAGCACTTGGTCTTTACAGCATCCCGCAATCATCGCAGTTGGTCAGCATAGTGCTCCCCATTGGTGATCTTGCCTGTAGAGAGGTAGCCTCCCATGATCACCCACTACAAGTCCCACAAAACTAGACACGATCTTTCCATCAGAGGCATTGTTTCTGAACCTCTTGGAAGACAGATTGTGTGTTTACGCTGCTTGCTCTGCCGTGTGGTCTCGGTATCGAAGTGGTGAATCCGTGTCTCATGAGTTCTGATCCCGCTTAAACTTCTGTCAGGGCCTGTCTGGGATATCCTTAAAATTCCCTTGAAGTTCCATTGACTTTATTAGTAGCCCTTATTAATATTCTGGCTATCTAACTTACTGACACCTTCATGGCTTACACTCCATGGACAGTTGTGTGCATTAACCAGGTGCTAATGTCTTAATTCTGGAATATTTGCATGACTGTTAATCTGCTGCTTTACATTACACAATTTACAACTGTGCCAACTCTCAGGTGGGGTGGTCCCTTTGGGTCATTCTGAGCTTGGATTTATTCAATATTGATTCTCCTTCAAGTTCAATTACCTGGTTTCCTGTTGTAATATATGAAGCCTCGTTTATGGAGTTACTTCATCACTGCTCAGGTTTCATTCTTCTTAGAATTGCAAAGCTTTGACTAACACAGTGTGACTGCTGTATATACCTGTATTGTATATTGATTAAATAAAAAATTGGTTGTTGATAAAAATATGGATCAAACTGTTAATTTTTTTTTGTTATTAACATTAGTTGGGATTTGCCTTATTTTTATTAGTTCAAGCTAGAAAAAATTTCAGTGCATCATAACATCAATAAGTCAAAATAAAGCAAATATAATTATCATCATCATTATCATCATCATCACTGTTTTAGAGCCATGATGGCATGGTGTCCCAGTTCTCATCAGGCAAATTTGAAGCTGGATGGCCTTTCTATCTCCAACCCACTTTACAGAAGGGGAACTGGGCATTATATGTAGGACTTCCAAGCACCGTCTTAGCTGACAAGGCAAGGTCACAACTCCTTGAGGTAATCAAAGATTACCCACAGCCAACTGAGACCGGATTGTTCCCAGATTAAGAAAATAATGAAACAAATATCTTTTTTACATCTCTGTGTTGATATGAAATTAGAAGTTAGTCCAAGAGTATTATCTAACTAACACAAAATGCAAAAGATCATTACTATACTCGTGGCATCATAGTATTCATTGATACAGTCTTACTTCACTCTTTATCCAACTCACCTTTCTTTGAAATACTGTAAGCTGTCATTTTATACTGCATGCTAGCTATATTGTCTTCACACAGCACATGTTAGTTAAAACTTCATAGAATGGACCCTGAATGATAATTCTTAGTGAGATCATCTATTCATATTTGCACAAAAACATTGCTTGTGTGCTTTGCTTAGACTTGAAACCATAACATTACAACTAAACAAGCAGTAATCTTTGTGGACCATCAGTTTTAACAAAATAGAAGTGTTCTTCATATAGATATCGTGGCATCCTTTTTTTTGAGTCATATGATGAAGTGTGACTATATACCTTTTTTTTTATAGCTAAAACCAACAAATGTTTAAATTAGTCATGTTTGAGGAGAGAGCGACGTCAATCCATATTTCTTCCCAAATATCTTTGGTTATAAACCAGAAATATAAAGGAAAACTGGAAGGGTGAGAATTCCATGGCTTGGTTGTGGTGAGAAAGGATACATTATAATGGAATCTTGTCAAGTGGCTGACCTCCACAACATGATATTTATAGGAGGAAGTAGTCAGTTGTATCTTATGAGATTGGATCTTTTGAGTTACTAGGCAGCTCGCAAGAAGTGACCAAACTAATATTTTGTCTTAAAATTTGCCAAGTGCTGTATTTACAATCCTCCTATGAGTGGAAGATAATGGAAGCAATGCATTTTGTGTTCTTTTTTAAACTATTGTACTGCACTCACTACCATCACTTAGTATTTGTATTGAGACATTTTAAGGGCAACACGCCTGACTAGAATCCATATGCTTTCTGAGTGACAAAAGACAGATGTAGACAGCACAAGTGGACAGGCTGTATTGGCCAGTGTCCAGACAAACATCACCATGTTGTCTTGGCTTATTGGCTAGCCAGGCTGGGCCAACTTACCGCTGGCTTTCCTGAGAATACTGTATAGGAATTGGGTGTACAGGTATTAGTGAGCTAGACCTGGTTGACCATTCAACTAATGACAGAGCATGACTAGTCCCATTCTACAAATGATAATGTGTGCTGGTTCATTTGTAATTTTGCTTTTTATATTGAATAGAAGTTTGTTCTTTGAATTTTCATACCCTAAAACACTAGGCTCATTACCGGTAGACTGTATTTTTGTTCAGTGGGACTTTAATGTATTTAATTTTCCTTGCAATCTTTTGTTGTGGTGCAGGAGTCAGGCCCAGTCAAAGTATTGCATGTGCTTTATAGAAGGGATAACTTAACTTTTTGTAGGCTGGTACCTCTTAGGGAGAGGTGTAGTGGCCAAGTGGATACAACACTCACCCCATGTCCAAAGCATTGTTAGATTACACCTTGGGCTCCTCTAGTCAAACTTGGCTGTAAATGGGACTAATTTTTCAACGAGGAAAGTGAAGGGGAACAACTGCAGTGACTGCCACATATTCTCCATGTGTACCAAAGACGTAACCCTTTCGCCTGCCGATAACGCTGTTTGCGTAAATGGTAAATCTTTGCATTTGATTGGCTGGTCTGTGGGTGAGATTTGTACCACACGAGCTCCCGGTTAAAGGATTAATATTCAATGGCCTGTTTTCAAACGGCCCTCAACAGTCAGTCAGTCTTATGGGCCCCACTTGCACATCTTAGGGACAAAGGTGTAGTTTAGTCTTTAGACATGAGTTCACCCTTTCAGTGTGATCTCCATGTGAGACTTGGTGGATGGTAAGAATTCTGTTACTATGTAATATACAGCATTGTTTTCCTGGCCGCACTCTTAATTCTTGTAAAATACTGTCATTGGGGATTGCCTGTTGTGAGGAGATGTAGCAGTCAATAGGTTATTAGTCTCAATCATTTTAATAATATTTCATGCTGGGAAAGATACAACTAATAATGTTTTTATATTTTAGGGTCGACTCCAAAGATATCGAGAGACGACGTGAACACTGGAGTCAAGTTCGCGCTATTGAAACCAAGCTCAGTCCTTCCGAGTCCAGATTATTTGACCCAAAGGTTTTCTTTGATAAGTTTATGCAAAAGGGAAGCAAAGAAGATTGATGATTTTGTTCTATTAAAATATTCATAAATGGTATTAACAAGTTCTGAGTCAAGGAAATCTTGGAGTTTTAAGATATCATAATTGTTTGTAATTTTCTAGAAAAAAAGAATGGTACATTTAGTGAAAAATTTACAGAAATGGTAATGTACATATTTATAATTAGCAGAGCAATGGAAAGGAATGTGTTACTCCAGTGAACTTTGTATTGACTAAAAATATGAAGAGTAAGGTAGTCACTTGCAATGCAATAAAGGAAAGTGGCAGAAGAACCCATGGATAGAAAACCTAGATAGAATTGGGATGTCACACATTGTAATGATCCTGTTAAACTGAAATTGGTATACTTGTGATGTTCCAGTTGTCATATATTAGATTTGTTATGGTTATGGGGAAGTGTATTTGTGGCATATTTCCTCCTCAATATTTGAGGAGATTTATGATGTGATATCTAATGAATATATCAATAAGTTAACATCATTATTATATTGAAGCAACTCAGTTAATAGCTGTCTGCTGTTCCTCTTAGTGTGTTTGTGAAACACACATTGAGGATTTTCTTTAAGAATAATAAGCAGTCAGAGTCACTGTTCATTATCAAAAGCATTTACTACTTTGGCATGACGAACAATATCTCTGATTAATTTGCCTGATACAAAATTGCTAAAACCATAGATATGAAATCTGTTTTTGATTATCATGTCATCTGAAGGTACAGTATGTGTTAGCAGACTTGAATGTAAAATTTCAACATATTGGCCATATTAACTTATCCTGTACTCAGGGTGCTCTGCCTGTGTGCTGTATCCAAACCCTTGTGAGGCAAGTGGTAACTGGTGTGTTACCTAAAACCAAACCCACTAAATGTACTTACTTCTAAGAATATGCTAAGGACTACTATAACACACACAAGGGAAATATTTGTATAAAATTAGGAAGACTTGAAAACCTTTGGAGGTCTTTGACAAATATTAGTATCCCAAATAATTTCTTCACCAGATATGACAGAAATATGACTGCCACTATTATAACCTGATCTGTATCTTTGCCATTCTTATATAGCATAATACCTCGTCTTGATACAGTATATTTGTACTGTGCAGTTAGGTACTGATTTTATATTAAGAATCTCTCATTGTTCTATTCTCCAATTCTTAATATAAGTCTCTTCTTTGTATACTGATATGAAATGTTATCAAGTTTATTTATTGATTTAAAATAAGTAGTGGAGGAAGATCAAAACAATGTCATGTTTTTCATAAGACAGATTTAGTTTCTCTGTCATTCGTGCTATAGAACCTAGATTCTAAAAGGTCCCCGGAAACTCATTTACCGTACTGTCTTAAGTGACACACGTTATTACTCACTCTTGACTCTAAAAGTATTCTGCCTTTAAAGTAGATGATTTATTTGGATATATATTATTTCTTTATTAATTTTTATTCATCTTGTGACATATACGTCATCATCCTATGCAGAATTTTACTCAAGAATATCTACCAATAACATCTCCACATTTTCAAGTGGCCAGATATACATCACTGACTTGGGCTGAATTGTTTGACTGTCCAAAATAAAAGAAACAGATTCCACTTTAATATTGTAAGAAAAGAGAATATTTCAAAAGGGAATGGTTTGTATAAGTGTGAACTCACAAGGGAAAAGAAATACTTAGAAAGATTAGAAAAATAAATGAAAGAAGTACAATTATAGTTTGGAGTCGAGTGTGTGTGTGTTTGTGTGTGAGACCGCCGAGTAGTTAAGAGTGAATCTAACTAACAATTGGTATCACCCTTGGATGTAAACATATTTTATATTGCACAGTGTCCATTAGTGACTTGGTTCATTTGATGTGCTCTGTATAATTTATTAATGTAATCAGAGGTTATTTACTGAGGATTTTTTTATTCAAGAATGTAGTTATGTGGTAAGTTAATTTATTTTTACCTTCTGTATTACTGTATGTTTCTCTTTGTTTATGTGTTTATCACTTTAAACAGAGTCTTGTTGTGTGTTCATCACCTGTGTCTGTCTTTGTAGGAATGTCTAATTATTGTACTGTCCTCCTTATCTTGTTTTTCGAAGTGTTGGATCTTTACTAATGGCGCTTACTTCTCATCTCTTGAATAGATTATGATTTTCAAGGGTATAGTAAAGTGTGCACAATACTTTGATTGGAAACTTTTTATTTCTTGTGATTTGATGAAAGTGCACAGCTTTCATAGTATTTACCATACTCATTTACTCAAGCTTTGGATTTGGTAAAAAAAAATGATAATCATTTACAGTAGTCAATTTCAACAGAATTAGAATGAAAGCTTTAAAGAAACAACTAGCTACAGTATTCAGAATGAAATAGTCTTTAAGTATTAGTGCTGTTAGACTGAGCATTATTAAGTTTGAGAAGTCTTAATCCCTCGAGTCTCCTAGCTAGAATGTAGTCTCCAGAAGCAAAATAGATATACTGGTTGTTGTTCCCTATCATGGGGGATATGCTTCTTGTGATGGAGAGCACTTTATAACATGGTGGAATAGGGGATGTGTCCCTGGACCATCCAAACTTTACCCCAGAAGACCGGCAATTGAAATACAAAGTCATATAAATATAGTAATGTCCTGAAAATTTAATAATAGCTTAAATAAATACATTATAAGAACCTAACAATAAATCTAAACTTGTATCACGGAGAGAGAGAGTGTCAGATAAATCAACTTAAACAGATACAAAGGTGGTCTGAGCAGTGTTGAGAGTGGGACAAACAGTAAGGTGCATAGGGTCAGCTGAGTGCTTTTGTTGGGGGTGCCATTTAGTATAATGTTAAATAGGATAATAGAAATGATAATAATAACAATATTAATATCATTGACTATTATTTGTAGTAGTATTTTTGTTGTAAGCTAATTATTATTGTTATTGATTAAGATATTTATTTCAAAAGTCGTTAAGAAATATCGTCCTTGTATTTCCCCCGGCTGCACATTGAGAGTGCTCACTATAATGACAACTGGAAGGTGCTAGATCCCCCACTTCCTCAAACCTTATTCTGTCATGCTTTATTTCTTATGTTGTCCTTGTGCAAGTTTTGTGGGTTATTCGTCCATTCATTATGCATGTTTTAAGGGGAAATTTGTAAAGATATTGCCTATATATATATATATATGTAAATATCCATCACCTTTAAATGTGTACAGTATTATTCATTTTGTGTACTTACATGTTATGTCACCACTTAGTATATCACACATTTCTTCGATCCCACGCGATCATTTATCCTGCTTTTTTTTTTTTTTTGCACTCTTAACATATTTTCATCATATTTTCTATTTCTGGATTCCCTTGTGGTTATAATTGCTGTCAAGCCTCTTTTTTACATTCTCTGTTGTGTAAGGAGATAGTGCCTACCACTCTTGGGTGACACTCAAACCAACACACAAAATCCTATATACAGTTTTTTACTGCTTGGTGTGGAGATGGTAGAACAGTAGAACATCCAAGATCCATGAGGAAAATTTTCATTGACCCTTTTATTATGAATGTAAAATAAGTTCTTCAATCTTAGTGGATTAATATAGTATATTGAGTAGTTTATTGTGAATTTATGAACTGTATTTCAAGATAATGCATGTTGCTTGAGCAGTGAATGGATAAATAAACATTCCTAGATTGAGCAGTATGCACTGTTTTGTGTCAGTATTTAAGTAATGTACAGTAGTTCATTTCTGTCATTTTTATCCATTCATTTATGTCTTTTTAAGGTACCTGTATAAGTGTTGAGTCTTAGTTGAGCTGTTGCATGGATTTGTGTTTTATATATTTAAAATTATTTTCCAGCATTTCCCTCAAATGATTCAGGGATGTAAAGGGTTCAGAGCAGTAGGGTTATATTCCTTATGGTTTATTTAATTATTTATTGATGGTCTCATAATAATTGTTTTAAATTTATAGGTGGTAACAAGTATTTTTGTGTGATTTGGAAACTTTTATCTTAAGTGTAGGTGTACATGCTTGTGTGTATGTATTTATTGTTTTGTGTGTTTTCTTTGTGCATGGTTATTTGTTTTATATTTGTACACTTTTGTGCATGTATATTGTTACCTGTTCTGTTTGTGCAGGTAACCACGTGGCCTTAGCAAGGCTGGAGAAACTTGGCATTCTGGTCTGTGCTGATGAGTTCTTTTACCTGGGTGACATTAGTGCTGGAAGGGGTGCTGAAGCCTGCTTAGTTGCAAGAGCTAGAAATGACTGGATGAAGTTTAGGGAGTTGATGCCTTTATTGAGGGCATGATTGATTGGTTGATTGTGGTAATATTGATAGCAGAGGATCTTCCCTCCACAAAAAAGGAAAGATGTATTCAACTGGCATTAGAAGGGTGTTTTTGTATGGCAGTGAAATATAGGCAGTTAAAGAGGATGACAAATGCAGACTTGAGTGAGCTAATATGAGAATGGTGAAGTGAATGTGTCACTGAAAGACAAGAAACTCTCTTCAGAGCTAAGAGGGCAGCTGGGTATTGTGAGTACAGTGGTCGCTCAATTAACGAACGGTTCAATTAACGAAATTTCGTTGAACGAATTAGCTCCCATAAGGATTTTTAGTTTCATTAACGAACAAAACTTTGATTAACGACAGCCTTACGAGAAACACGCTTTGTTGTGCACATCAGCTGATCGGCTAGTCCGCCAATATAGTAATTGGTTCTATGTTTACATTCGTTTCCAGTGGAATAAATATCAAGAAAGTTGTGCTCCTGAATATTTTTGTATTTTTTATATTAAAATTATGGTCATTCTGAAATTTCAACATCTTGATAATATATACAGTACAGGGAACAATTTTTGTGTGCCCTTCAGCTGATCGAATCACCCACCAACGCTTCTCAGTTTAACTTTGTTAACAGTGGAGTGAACATTTAGTTTGTTGGTCTTGAATATTTTTGCATTTTTACATTAAAATTATTGGTCATTCTGAAATTTAGTTAACATATTGATAATATACAGTGCAGAAATTATTATGAACATGAAGAAGGCATTAGAACTAATGCACTCTGTAAAGAATATGGCTTGTCATCGACTGCCTCTACAATCAGCTGTTTGGTATGTAAACAAAGCTGCCGGGAATACGACATACACACCTTAAAGTAAGCTAAAATATGGTATTCTATTGTTTTTTATTTATTATTGTACAGTATACTGTACAGTACAATACTGTATTTAGTTTATATTTAATGTTTTCTTAATTCTATTACCGGTATAGAAGTATTTTGTATGTATACTTTTTCTGTGAGTTGGAACCAAGTACCCAAAATCCCATTGAAATAATAGTCGGTTAACAAAATTTTTGGTTTACAACCGACTCTGTGGAACCAATTGTATTCGTTAATCGAGGGTCCACTGTATTAGCCAAGTTTTGCAAAGAGGTGGGCTGAGATGGTTTGGGTATGTGGAGAAAATGGGTCAGACCAACTGGGTCAAGAGATGCATGAGTCTTAGTATAGAGGGGAGGAGAGCCAGGGGCAGGCCAAGAATGACATGGGGAGAGATTGTAAAATCTGACATGAGAGGCTGCAAGAGACTATGTAGAGTGGAGAGCTGCCGTCAGGTTATTGCATCTAACCCATGCAAGTGCAGAAAATGGTTGTAAAATATTGATGATGATAGGCATGTAGGTGTGTAATTTTTTCCCTTACCAGTATATGTATGTTGACTTCTTAGGCCTTCTTACTTACTAGGGATATCCTGATTCTTCCAGCAGTGAATTAATCACTAACCATAGTGCATTTACTGTATGTTAGGTAACATGTTAAGTGAAATTGACAATTCTTGGTTGATGTTGTAAACTTTACTTTTTGACATAAGAGAACGAGAAAGCTTTATCATTTGGTCACCAGAGTCACAGGAATAATAGCTGCATCTACTCTACAGTCATGCACAGTGTAAAGTTAGTGGCATTAAGGGAACTCTGGTGGGTCTAGTGCCCCATTCCACCATGTCAGAAATAGGGGGCACTGTCCTATGATAAACATTTTTAACCCCACCTTTTTTATTTATTCAAGTATTGTAACCTTCCAATAAACACTTTTTTTTTATGGAACTTGGGCAGATATTGTTTGAACATTCCTACTGTGGGTATTTGTTAATCTGTGCTTGGCCTTTGCTAACCTCCCCTCTAAGAATTCCTGAATCAACCATTATAAATTGTTGGCCTAACAATGAAGCCTATTGTAGAAGGGCAAAATCCTTAAGGTGTAAGATAAGAGGTTTATCTTTGCTTCCAGTACCTATTATTAGTGAGACTGATAGGAAGCAACTCGTCGTGCTGGTGTCTTTGGCTGACAATTTAAGTAAACCTGTATAAGAGACTCAGATTTGAGATGTTAAGAATAATATCTATATAAGCTTGTCAAGGGTAGTCCAATCATGAAGCAGGTGCATTGGTAGGTCTCAACATATGCATATGTTTCGAATATTGTACAGTATATAGATCTTGATCATTAATTATGCACTGAGAACTTGTTTTTAAAAGTGTTTTGCCCTGCAGAAAGTGGGGTGTTGCTTTTTTAATAAATTTTAACGGACGTTGAAAATTTTGTTTAGCGGTTCATCAATTTAAAGTAGACGAGCAGTTGCCCTTAAATAGAAAGGAATATACTATTGACAGTAGGATATTACTTAATTGCATGTTTGAAGTGCATGCAATATAGTATGGTGCTTGGTAGATCTTCATAGTGATTATTAGTGCTGAAATATGAAGTAAATTTATATTCCCAAACTTTTTAGGTGTCATTAAATGCTTTAAAAATGTTGGACCAGTTTAAATTTTGAGGCATTGTAAGAATCAGATCGACGATTGAGATTTTTGAGATTCATATTGTAGATATGAATTAGTTACCTCTGTCTTTTTGCAGGCTACCATGTCCTTCAAATATACTACAAAACTTTCAAGTAAGGTATGAATTATTGGTAAATCTGTAATACTTATAAACATCCCACTTAAAAATTTATTTACACATATACTGTATATTTTTTTTTAAGATGGGTTGACCTTGCTTCACTTAGAAAAGGACAAATGTATTGTTACAAGTAGATACCAGTGACAGTGCTAGGTGTGGTTGTGATATCATGTATCAGCACGTCCACATTTATAATGAAGCCTTATACCATAGTGTTTAAGCTTCTTGTCAGTTTGTACTCGTCTCCATGACTCGTTTCTACTGCTTTAACTCTTTTCCTCTCTGCCTTGATGCTTCCATTCATTCCGAGTCTCATTACCTTGGTAGCTTTCCATATTTTTATAATTTAATGGTAAAGTCAAATGTTAACTTTTAATACTAATGCCCTTAACAAGTTACTGTATTTTATCAAGTACTCATATCATGAAAGGGACATCTCTTAAGGCTGTTAAATGATAAACAGGAGTCTTCATAAACAAGTAAAATGATTCCTTGATGTGTCATAAAGTTTGGAGTTGCAAGTTGTGTACCAGTTAAAGTTAGTCAGAAAATAGAACTTAAAACTGTGTGTTCCCTGTGGGGCAAAATTGTGCTTATATGTTAGAGTTCTTGGGGCCTTAGTGACCAGAATATTGCATATCTAAGCAGTCATTGACCTCTATGATCTTGATTAAAATAAGATGCGTGTTTGGTTCTTGGATAGCAAAGTTTCTGGTTCACAAGGGGCAAGATAATCAAATGTCTTGTTGAAGAAGACTTTAATGATCAGATTATATGGTCAAGGATAAAGAGAATGGTGGGTATTGCTCTATGTCTTGCTCAATGATGTCATGAGAATTTCTCGGGCATCAACCTTTAACACTACCAAAATAAGTGTGGTGTAATATGTGTTGTGAGATATATATTAGCCATTGATTATTAATAAATAGATGGCGAAATACAAATAGTGCTATGTAAAAACAGTTTACTGGATTACCTGCTCCAGATAGGACTCGGTATGTACTCTGATTTCTGTTGTGAGTGACAGACAGCCTGGGGTTTGAATTAATGAAGGTTCGTAAAGCATTGATTGACCAACACAACTTTTTTTATAGATAATTATAGATGATTTTCTGTAAATAATATACTGTAGTACCATGAAATAAACAGATATGGATTTTATACACTAATTCTGTATATGTTTTTGGTTAATGAATTAAGGACATAATGTGTGTTTCCAGTTTTCTGAGTAAACTATTGGGCGTCTACTAACTTGAATTAGAGCCAAGTAAATGAAGCGTATAATTATCTTATTTGCAAGTTACAAATTTTTTTCCTACGTTCAGGGTTTTAATATGTAAACCAAAGAGGTGGATTATTTTTTATAACCGAAATACATACAGTATGTCTATACTTACTTAGGTATCCCCCTCCCATATACTGTACTACAAATTATATTATTGTATTTCCCAAGGTGGAAGGGTTATTATATCAGTTGAAACATGAAATCTGTTCCCATTAAAAAAATCTTGAGAATGTCTTAAATTGTACATAATTATAGATTTTCTAATTTATCCTGAAATTACAAATACAGTATAGAGGAAAATTTATGGCTACCCTGGGACTGTATTCATGTGTCAAATTTATTAAAGGAATTTGTTAAGCATTTACTGATCTTGTTAGAATTAAATACATTTTAATTTCATTTTCCCTGACACTTCATACACACTATGCCATTTTAGGCAGTACAAAAAGTAAAAGGTAAGAGATGAAATGAACAAACCCACCCCCTCCCCCCCAAAAAAAAAATTATATATATATATATATATATATATATATTTATTTATTTATATATATATATATATATATATATATATATATATATATATATATATATATATATATATATATATATATATATATATATATATATATATATATATATTTATTTATTTTGGTTATCTTACCTCCCTTAAGTGTTTTTTAAAGATGCAAAACTGGAAACATAGATATCATTGGTTTTAACAAGGTGTATTCAATTTTGTTCGGCAGTTTAAATTACCGTAATTGTATTAAGACAGTGCTACCAAATGACTGGTGCCCTGCGTTTCACTAGCACCCCAGAGTTTCACTAAAGTAACCATTATTTATGACTTCCATATTAACTTACCGGTAAGTTGGCTGTAGCGTGAATATTTGCCCTAAGGTCATCAATGGTGCGAGTCTTATATGGGTAAACTGTCTCTTGTCCAGTAGACTACCAGCGAGCAAATCATTCTTTATATGACTAAAAAATGTGAAAATGTAAGACAGTTTTCGTGAGGAAGTGTACACACATGAGCATCTGTATTATTGCCAAGTTTTAGAAGTTAATAACAGTTTGTCCTTGATTAATAAAAACGGAACTTTTTTGGTTTTAGATTTCTTATAAATTATTGTTTGTGAGAGATTTGAATTTCCCAAGCTGTTAATTATGATAGGATGTATTTACATATACAATTTACAATGGAACGAAGGACTGTACTGTATTTGAAATTTACTTTTGTGTTTTACAACTACTATTACAATGTTCCTGCAGCATATTCCAGTTTTTATTGAAGAAATAAAATCACTTCTGTTAGTAAAAAGTAAAAAGCTGGGTATATTTTATATACAGGTAATATTTAATTATGTCAGAGTCATCATATTTTATTGACTCACTGAATAAAACAT